CCTGGCTCCACCGGCGCCTGGTGCAAGTTTGCAGGGCAGGCCTGCACAGTGACAACACCAGGAAATCCACTGCGACGGAACGATTCAGAACGCTGGCAGTGAGCTCACCGTTAAAAACAGTCGTCGCCCGTAGAGCTGGGCGCTTACGGCCGACGACGATTACACATTGCAGTGAACTCACTCAATACGGGCTGCCGGGCGCCATTAACCGATTCGTCCCACGGCGGTGCTTTGTTGGTCAGAAAGGCCCGAGGCCTCCGTGCTCAGAGACCTCGACAGTCTCCTCGACACCGTCGTTGGTACTCAATTGCACATAGCGAGGTAACCGCGTCGTCATGGGCGGTTCCACTGCGGCGAACCCCGCCCTCCCTCCACCCCGCACCCAGCACCTCCGATGTCCCGAGGTTGTTGTTCTCGTTGCATCGTCGCGCCTGCACCGTCACCCACATTGTGCCTCGTGCGCCGCAGCCACGCCGCAGCGCGACCGTTGCGGCAGCACTCCCCGCCTCCACCACCACCTTGCTGTTCCCACGTATCCTGCCGTTTTGTTGTCGCTGCATCGTGGCGCCCCGCACCACCGTTGTGCCCTCGAACACCGCACCCATCGCCACACCCGTCGCCAAGTGCAGCACCCCCCACCCTCCACTTCCACCCTTTGCAAGACCCTGTGGTCCCGTGTATTCTGTTGTCGCTGCACGTCGCGCCCCCGCACCGTCACCACCGTGCCCCTCGCCCGTCATGAACACACCGGCAGACCATCGTTGTGGCAGCACTCCCCGCCTCCACCCTCCACCCCGCACCACCCTACCCCTGGTATCCCGTGGCGTTCATTCTCGCTGCACGTGGCGCTCCGCACCGTCGCCACCGTGCCTCGTCCGCTAATAGATGACGCCATTATCTCCATGCGCGGCACTCCTGCCTCCACCTCTCCACCGCACCACGGTCACCTGTATCCCGGCAACTGGCCTGCGCATCGTGGCGCCTCAAACGTCACCAAAAGTTCTTCCTCCAGCGACCACGCTGTGCACCTGCCTGCGGCGTGGCCCCTGCCCCACCCCCACCTCGCACCACCACCCCTGCCTTATCCTGTGGCTCTTCATTCTGCTGCATGGTGCCGCGGCGCACCGTCATCAAACACCGTGCCTCGTCTGGGCCGCAGCAGCCACGCTGCAGACCGTTGCGGCACTCAAATTCCTCCACCTCCGTTCCCCAGCAAAGTTCCCGGCGATCCCGCGAAAGAAAGAACAAGGCGCATGTGGTGCCCCGCACCGTCGCCACTGTGCCCCTCGAGCCTCTTTGCGAGACCACGCTGAACTGAGTCGCCAGGCAGCACTCCCGCCCTTCACCGCCACCCCTGCCCAATGAGTCACCTGTATTCCGTTGCGCTCATTCTCGCTAAAATGTCAGCCCCGCGTAATTGTTAACACGCACCACAGTTCTCCTCGATCGCGAGCATCGCCGTACCCTGTTGCGGCGGTGGCACCCCGCCCACCTCCACCCTATAGTGAAATACTATCCCAGTTTGCTTTGTTCTCGCGAGACGTCAGTTCTGCACTGTCACCACCGTGCCCTCAGTTACAGACACGTTGCACCCTGCTGCGGCAGCACTCCCCGCCCTCCACCTCCACCCTCGCAGCAAAGACGCACGACTATCCCGCTCGCTGCACTGCCTGCACCACTGTGCTGTCGCCCAGGCTGTCCAGCAGTGGCAGCACCCCTGGCCCTCCACCCACCCCGCAGCAAGACCCCTGTATCCTGCTGGCGAGTTCCTGCACGCCCGCGCCCCTGACTGCCACCACCGTGCTGTCGTGCATCCAGTGCCATGCTTACCGTTGCGGCAGCACCCCTGCCCTCCACCTCCACCCCTCGCAGCAAGACCCCACCCTGCTCCGCGAGCCTGATGCATCGGCGCCCGCACCGCCACCACTGCGGTTTGGCACAAGGCAGCCACGCCGTGACCGATCAGCCTGCGCGCACTCCTCGCCCTCCACCCTCCACCCTCGCAGCAGACTCCCTGTATCCCGTTCGCTTTGTTCTCGAAGCGGCACGTCGCGCCTGCATTGTCACTACCGCACCAGCGCTGCCGCCGCAGCCACACGCCGTACCGACCGTTGCGGCAGCACCCCGCCCTCCACCCCGCACCAGTCCCGACTATGCCGCTCGCTTTGTTTCGTTGCATCGTGCCCCGCACCGTCACCACCAGCCCTGTCAGAGCTTTCCATGCCGCCACGGTTGCGGTGGCACTCCCCGCCCTCCACCTCCACCTCGTACCTCCATGCCCGGATAATGTGTAGATGAGCCCTGCTGCATCGTCGCGCCCGCACCGTCGCCGCCGTGCTCTGTTCAACGCGTAAACACGCCAGACTTCATCGTGCAGCACTCCCCGCCCTCCACCACCACCCTCGCACCACGCCTCCCGACTATGCCACTCGCTTTGTTCTCGCTGCACGTGGCGCCCCGCACCGTCGCCACCGTGCCCTCGTCCAGCGCAAACACGCCGCACGTCTCGTTGCAGCAGCACTCCCCGCCCTCCACCTCCACCTGCGCGTGCGCGTCCGGACACGTCAACGGACGTGTCACATCAGCGGACGATCATACCCGCGCGGCGGACCTGGCGGGCTGCGGTTTGCATATGTTGGCGGCACGACTCATACCTTGGCACTTTGTTCGACCAGCAGCCCGGACGTGCCGGCATGGGACTCGTTGAGCTTGCAGTTGCGCAGCACAACGCCGCATGCGCCGGATATCTGCACCATGCCCTCCAGATCTGCAAGTGCCGCGGGAGCGAGCGGGCGAGTATGAGCATGCATGCACATGTGCGTCCTGCTGCAGCTTGTGTGCAGCACCGCGACGTTCCCGCGGAGGTGCAGGGTGCTCGACGTGCGCTCACCGCCCCCGTGGCTCGGAGCCGTGTACTTCTGGACCGCCAGGCTGTCCAGCAGCAGGCCACGCGCATCCACAGTCGCGTACAGCCGAATGCCCTCGAGCGTCCCGTTGCGCAGCGCCAGGCCGGCACGCGCGATGATGAGCGTGACGGGGGCATCGGAGGTGATCGTGCGGCCTCCAAGATCGATGTCCTGCACGTGCACCCCGCGATGCCGCACATGGTCGTCAGCACGCGGAGGGGTACCGCCAGCAATAATAATAAAATGCAAGAGCCCAGATGTTGCTGCACGGCTTGGCGGGCGCAAGATGTGCACGCAGCGTCGGTCCCTCGTGCGCGCTGTAAGCAACGCGTCACGCCAAGCGCGACCGCAAGTGGTGTGTGCAACTATCAGGGCGCGGGATATGACGCCAGCTGGCGCGACGACCGGCGCAAACAGTGCGAAACTGCAGACTCTGTCCTTGAATCTCCATCGTCGCGTGGCAAACAACGCTTAGGAGCCGACCAACGCCGCCCCGTGCACCGTGGCTCTCCGGCTTCCGCGCACAAGAGCGAGCTGCGGGGCGCACCAGGACCGCGGGGTCCGCCAGAGCTGCTCGGAGCTTGTCCAGCGTCTCGCAGTGTGTCCTGTCCGCGGCGCTGCTCTGGTGCGCCGCCCCCGCCTGCGCCGCACGTGCCTGTTCGGCTTCCCGCTCCATGCTCTGGACGGCAGCGATGATAGCGCGGGGCACCGACGGCGGCACGGCCCGGTCCGCGTCCCTCCAGTAGTCCTTGAAGTCGCTCTCACTCGCGGCGAGCGCAGCACGGTGGTTCTCGACGCCCAGTGCGCGGCACGCCCGCTCCACCTCGTCGCGGTAGGTGCCCGCGCCCGCGCGCTCAACGAGCTCCTGGATGTACCTGCGCCCGGTGAGGTCCGCCATGATCGTAAGTCGCGCGACAAGGGACGTCAACGGCGTCGTCGGATGTGTCGCGCGCGCCCCCGACGCGCCCCAATCACCCACCAGCGCAACTGACCCCCCCTGGGTCAGTCGACCTTGAATAACTTTCAGCGAGCAAACGAGCGTACTGACGGCCGTAGGAAGATGGCCAAAATGGGGTGGTCAGCAGCAGAGCAACAGCGGTGGAGTACCCGTGAGAGAATTCACACCCTACTAGTATTGTGACGTAACCACGGATATGACGTAAGCACGTCGTCATGGCGAGTTCCATTACGAAGGAACTCCCCGCCCTCCACCTCCACCCTTGCACCCAGCATTTCCCATGCCCCGAGGCTGTTGTTGTCGTTGCACGTCGCGCCCCGCACCGTGCGTCACCACCGTGCCCTCATCCTGCGCAAGCACGCCGCACTCATAGTTGCGGCAGCACTCCCCGCCCTCCACCTCCGCCCTCGCAGAAAGATGGCCCTGTACCGGTGCCTTCTGTTGTCGCTGCACGTCGCGCCTCGCACCGTCACCACCGCCCTCATGCGTCGCAGCCACTCCGCACAAGTCTTTCGGGCCCCATTCGGCGGGGGGCGTCCGTCCCACCGCGGCGACGCGCCGTCCGTCGTAGAGGTCCCGTGCGCACGTGGCTCCATTGGAGCCACGGCGCTGACAGTGCCGCGCAGAATCAGCGTCAGCCTGCACGAAGCAGCCGGGGGCGCTCGAGAGCGAGCGCGCGAGCAAGGTCGTCGGGGCGTTCATCGAGCAGGGGCTCAACATGTGGTAGGCTGGGCGGCGCGACCGCGGCGACCGCGTGGTCAGGGACTTGTGACGCAACGGCGGCCACGTGTGGCAAGTGTGTCGCTGTGTGGGCCGAGGTGTCGGTGACCGTGGGCAGCAAGCGGCGCCCGCCTCGACCGTCGGGGTCGCCGCGGCCGGGGCACTTGGTGACGTGGTCAAGGAGGGGTGTGGAGGGTGCTGGTCCGACCCAGAGGGAACGACGCCGCCGCGTCACGGGGACGAGGTGTGGGCGCGCAGTGCCGGTGCTGCACTCTGCCGCGCGCTTGTTCGTGGCCGCGGCACTGCTTGCAGGCAACGGTCCTATCGCGCGAGTTGTGCTGGGCGGAGAGAGCGCGCCAGTGGGCTCCGGGGTCGCGCACTCCGCGGGTCAGGAGGGGGTAGACGGACGGGTCAAGATGGCGGCTCGGGGGAAGAACATCGACAAGCACAACTTCTTGATCCAGCAGCTGTACGTGCGGCAGGTGCGTCGCGGCATGGTGGTCTGGCATCTCACACGGACCCTGTGCGGTCGTCGAGCCGCTTTGCGCCGGTTTCCGACCATGGCCAGCTTCCCTATCGCTCAGTAGCGGAGGTCAGGCGAATGAGAGCCCGCGGGAGGGTCGTTCCGTGGCGGTGGAGAGACCGTCCTCTGTGGGCCTGCTGGCGCTGCAGGAGTTCGATGAGTGCCTGGAGCTGGTGGAGAAGGTGTTGCAGGAGAGTCAGGGACAGTGTCAGTTCGCCGTGTACACGAAGGGCATGATTTTGCGGCAGAGGGGGAGCCTGCAGGAGAGCTTGAACATGTTTCAGATGGCCGCAGCGCTCAACGCCTCGGACCCGAACAACATCAAGCAGGTGCGCAACACCGTTACGTGTATATCCACTCCGTCCGGGGTGCGAGCTGTCGCGCCAGGCGCTCAAGAAGCCCCACCGCGGCGCCACCTCACCGCATGCACCCCTCGCGGCCCTCCGCACGCCCCTCGCGCGGCCCTCCGCGCCTCTTCGGCCCCAGAACCTCCCTCCCACACAGCACCGACCCCTTCGTCCCCGTCCGCGCGCGCGAGCAGGTCGCCAAGTCGCTGCACCTCCTGGGCAAGCACGAGGCGGCCATCGAGGTGTACAACGAGGTGATTCAGCTGGCGGGGCGGCAGTGGGACGTGATGTTCGCGATCGGGCAGTGCTACCTGAACCTGCGCGAGCACGAGAGCGCGGCGGAGGCGTTCAAGGAGTCGTTGAGTTCGCAGCAGAACGACCAGGTGTACATGGCGCTGGGGAAGCTGCTGACGCAGATGGGGCGGTACGACGAGGCGCGGGCGCTGTACGAGGAGGCCGTGGTGGCGCACCCGCAGCACCCGGAGCTGCTCACGACGCTCGGGCTGATGCACCTGCGCACGAACGACAACCAGCGCGCGCTGCAGCTGCTGGCGCAGTCGCTGAAGCTGGACCCGAAGAACCCGCGGACGGTCATGGCGGCCGCGTCGATCATGCAGGACCACAGCGACCACGACAACGCGCTGATCAAGTACCGCGCCGCCGCGCAGCACTCCCCCAACTCCCCCCAGGTGTGGAACAACATCGGCATGTGCTTCTTCGGCAAGCAGCGGTACGTCGCGGCCGTCGCGTGCCTCAAGCGCGCCCTCTACCTCGGGCCCTTCGAGTGGATCGTGTCGTACAACCTCGGCCTCGTCTACCTCAACGTCGGCCAGTACGCCTCCGCCTTCCACTTCTTCTCCGCCGCCGTCAACCTCAAGCCGGACTTCGCCCACTCCTACATGTACCTGGTGCGCCCGCGCCCGCACCCGCTCCTGCCCGCGCTCGCGCTCCGCATGACGGAGGCGCGGTTGTTTGTTTGTTCTGAGGTGGTTTGTGGGTCGATTCCTGCGTCGCAGGGGCTCGCGCTGTCGCGGCTGGAGGACTTCGAGAACGCGTGTCTGGCGTACGAGAAGGCGCTGGAGCTCGAGGACGACTACGTGTTCCGGCTGAACTACGGCATCATGCTGGCGCGGCACGGGCACACCGACATGGCGAGGGAGCAGTACGCGGCGTTCAAGCGCGCGTTCGACCAGCTGGACGCGGACGCCAAGGAGAGCGACGCGGACGTGACGCAGCAGGCCGAGCTGCTGGGGCAGATGCTCAAGTGACGCGCGGCGGGAAGGGGGGTGTTGATTGATAGCCGTATGGTGGCAATGTGTCGATAGGCTTGCCTGGTCGACCAGGCGCAGCAATCCGGAGGGGCGTGCGTGTGATCCGTGGGCGCCCGCTGCCGTCGGTCTCGAGAATTCACAGTCTGTGTGCGGGGCGCCGAGCTGCAGGGAGGTTTGGGCAAAATTTTCCTTGCACTGCCGCATCACGCACGACGAGCGTGACGTCGTGCGCGCTGGCGGGCGCGAGGGCTCTTCGAAGTACAATACGCCGCAGCCGTGCGACAAGGGCCGCGCTGCGGTGCGCAGTCCTGCACGCGCGTCATTGAGGGGGGACTCCACGTGGCCGGTGCCTGCGCCATCAGTCGTTGTCCGGCCTCAGGTTCGTCTGGAACGCGGCCTCGAGCACCTCCCTGGTCTCCTTCAGGTGGATCCCCATCGACGCCGTGGCCGGGGACGCGCTGGGCGGGCGGCCCACGTAGTGCACGTCGCGCTTGTTGCTGCACAGGGCGTCGATCGACGCCCGAAGGCGGTCCTTGACGTACATCCACGCGCCCATGTTCTTCGGCTCCTCTTGCACCCACGCGAGCTCCGCGTTCGGGTACCGCGCGATGACGCGTGTCACGCGGTCGTGGGGGAAGGGCGCAATCTGCTCGAGCCGCACGAGCGCAATGTCCTTGACCTTCATGCGCTGCCGCAGCCGCGAGAGCGAGTAGTACACCTGGCCGGTGCACAGGATCACGCGGCGGATCCGCTCGTTCTCGTACAAGTAGGACTCCCCCGTGGTGGGGTTGTACGCCCGGTGGCGCGTGTTGTCCGCGATGCCGGAGCCGTCGTCGATCACGCGGTGGAAGAACGTGCCCGGCGCGAAGTCCTGGATGTCGGACGTGCACGGCGTGTGGTGCAGCAGGAACTTGGGGGCCGCGACGATGAGCGGCTTCAGGTAGGACCGGTTGACCTGGCGACGCAGGACGTGGAAGTACTGCGAGCAGACGGGGCGCGCGTGGCGTCTCGCGGGAGGCGCGGGGGGCGCGGAGGGACCGTGGGTGCGCGAGGGGTGGCGGGCGCACCTGGGCCGGGGTAGTGCAGTTGACGACGAACATGTTGGCGCGGCGCTCGTGCTGTCTGCGGAGGAACGTGGTCATGATGGCCATCCACGCGTCCAGGTCGAGGTGGTCCGTCAGACCCAGCTCGCGCCACACGTGGTCCACCGAGTCCATCTCCTCCGCCTGCCCCACCAGCCCGAGCCGGTCCAGCAGCCGCGCGATGTCGTCCTTCTGGAGAACCTGCGAGTCGATCCGCGAGTCAATGCCCCAAGCGTCGCGCCGAAGCTCGGAACGCGCGCGCACACGCAAGGGCGAACAGAGCATGCGTCTGCACGTGCGTGCTGCGCGCGGGCGGATGGGCGCTGTGGCAGCTCACCCCGTCGGTGCCGGACTCGGCCGCGAGGCTCTCGAAGGTCGCCCGGATCTGCGCGCGCTCCGACGGCGAGTTGCCCGGCAGGTGGTCGGGGTCGTCCGCGACCATCTGCAGGTAGCGCTCGATGCGCGCGCTCGAGTGGTCCGGCCCCTGCCCGTCGAGGCCGTGCGGCAGGAGCACGACGAGGCCCGACTCCGTCCCCCACTTCTCCTCCCCCGACGAAATGAACTGGTCGATCACCACCTGCGCGTTGTTGGCAAAGTCCCCGAACTGCGCCTCCCAGATCGTGAGCCCGCGCTTCTTCATGCCCAGGCTGAACCCGTACTCGAACCCCAGCGGGCCGTTCTCGCTCAGCGGGCTGTTGTGCACCTCGATCGTCTCCTGCTTCCCCGGCGCGATCATGTTGAGCGGCATCCGCTGCTCGCCGGTGCGGATGTCGTGCAGGACCGCGTGCCGGTGGTTGAACGTCCCGCGCTCCACGTCCTGCCCCGTCAGCCGCACCTTGTAGTGCCCCTTGTTGAGCCCCAGCGACGGCTCGAAGTACTGGTCGTCGCCCGCCACTCCGGGCGGCAGCACGCCGCGGTGCAGCGCGAGCGTCCCGAACGCCAGCGCCTCGGCCATGCCCCAGTCGATGCGCTGCTTGTCGCCCTCGATCATCCGCCGCCGCTTCTGCAGCAGCTTCTCTGTGTCGGGGTGCAGGTGCATGCGTGGCGGCGGCGTCGTCAGCGAGCGGCCCACCCACTGCAGCGTCGGAACCGGCAGCCCCGTCGGCTCCGTGTCGTTGAAGGTGTCGTCGTCGAGGATCGACGCCAGCGCGTCGCCCTGCCACGTCTGCTGCACATACTCCCCCGCCCCCTGCTCAAACGCCCCCTCCTTGGCCAGCCGCAGCCCCTCCTCGAAGGTCGCCATGATCTCCGCCCTCCACTGCTCGATCTCCTCCTCCGTGACCACCCCGTCCGCGAGCAGCCGGTCCCCGTAGCTCTTCGTCACGCCCGTGTGCTGCGACACCGCGTCGTACGTGTTGGGCATGGTCGGGCGCGGGTCCTCGAGCTCGTTGTGCCCGTGCCGCCGGTACCCCGTGATGTCCACGACCACGTCCGTGCTGAACTGCGACCGGAACTCCGCGGCCACCTCGCAGCAGAACGCCACGCCGTCCGGGTCGTCCGCGTTGGCGTGCAGGATCGCCGCGCCCGTGGTCTTCGCGATGTCCGTGCAGTGCAGCGCGGACCGCGCCACCGACGGCACCGTCGTGAACCCCACCTGGTTGTTGATCACGATGTGCACCGTCCCGCCCGTGCTGAACCCGGGCACGTCCGACAGGTTGAGGGTCTCCATCACCGACCCTAGGCCCGAGAACGCCGCGTCGCCGTGCACGAGCAGGCCCATCATCGCCTGCCGCCCCACGTGCTCCTTCATGCGCGTCTGCTGCGCGCGCACCATCCCGAGGATGACCGGGGAGACGGCCTCCAGGTGCGAGGGGTTGGGCGCCAGCGAGAGCGTGAGCGTGCGCTCGGCGCCGCCCGCGCGCTCGTCCGCGTGCTGGATCATGCGCCCGGAGAAGTACCGCGCCTCGGGGCTCCGGCGCACCAGCAGCGTCGCCTCCTCGCCCATGTGGTACTTGACATCGCCCACGTGGAACTCGGAAAAGTCCCCTGCGCGCATCAGGGGGGGGAGTATAGCGGGACCGGGTCGGCGGGCTCGGCGGACCACGCGTGCACGCCGCGGCGCCGGCGGCGGTGCGCTCGGGGCGACGAGGGGGGCGGTGCGCAGTACAACGTGGCTGGTGCAGCGACAGACGCTTGTGCGCGGCGCGGGGGTGGTTGGTCGGCGGCGCGCTGGGCTGGGCAGAGGCGTGCAGCGCACCGTTCATTTCGGAGCAGATCATCCCCATGGGTTTCTGCAGCACGTTGTGCAGCACGTTGAGGCGCCCGCGGTGCGCCATGCCCATCTCCACGCGCGTGACGCCGAGCTCGCGGCACCGCGTGAGCAGCGCCTCCAGCCCCGGCACGAAGGCGTCGCACCCCTCGAGCGAGAACCGCTTGCTCGCCGGGAAGTTCGCGCCCAGGAACTTCTCGAACAGGCACGCCTTGAGAAGGGACTTCAGGGTCTCGCGCCGCTCGTTCGGAGACCGCGCCGCGCGGTTCTCCATCCGCGCCGAGAGCCAGTTCTGCTGCTCCACGGTGTGCAGGTGCCCGATTTCCGCCGTCGCCGTGCCGCAGTAGGCGCTGCCGAGGTACTCGAACACCTGCGGCAGCGTCCACCACGCGCGCTCGCCGCCGTCCAGGGTCCGCATGTACCCGTCCAGGTAGAACTTGCGGCTCGCGTCGGTCGGCCCCTGCGGACGCGGGCGCGGAGCGGCGGCGCGCTGAGCGGGAGCGGCACCGGCGCGCGCACGCCCCTCCAACGCCGCCAGGCAACAGGGGGCACGGGGCCGAGCCGCGGCGCTCCGCGCGGCGCGACGCGCCGGCAACGTCTCATCCGGGAGCGCTGCGCCGGACGCGCCCGTCGGCCGCGCGTGTCGCGCGGCGAGCGGTCGTCGCGCGCCGGGGTGGGTGCACCATCGGAGCGGCTCTCACCTGCAGCCCGAGGGCGTCCGCGAGGAAGCGCGCCTTCTCGTCCGGGGTGCCGTGCTGCGGATACGCTTCGAGGAGCGGCAGGAGGTCCGTGGAGCCCGGCAGCGAGCTCCCGTTGAGCTCCTCGAGCCAGGGTCCACGCTGGACGCGCCTCAGGGGGTCGAGCTGGGCGACGAGGTGGCCGCGGTTCCGCAGGGACTCGACGAGCCGCGCGACGCGGAGGGTGTCCGCGACGTCGTCGTCCGGGAGCGGGTGCGCGGCGTCGGGCTGCGCGTTCGAGAGGCCGCGGGCGCCCGAAGCCCACCAGGAGAGGCGGGGCGGAGCGGACGCGCACGCCCCCGAGGACCAGGCGGGCGGGAAACCGCCGTCCACGCGCCTGCGTGAGAAGAAACGGCCGGGAAGGCGGTCAGAGAGACGGCGCGTGCCGCAATTCTGCGGGACGCGGCCGGTAAGCTTCGCTTGCGGAGGGATCGTCATCGCTGTGCTGCGCACGGCGACGGTGCGCGCCCTCCGCGCGCGTGCCGCCGCCTGCCGCGCACAGCTGCGACGGAGAGAGGTTGCGGGCGGTATCTGCGTCGCGGGGCGCGGCCCGCGGGAGAGAGAAGCGTGGCACCAAGGGGCCGGCGGGCGCACCGTGAGAGGCCGCGCAGGAGCGTGAACGCCCGCGCATGGAGCTCTCTATGTGACAGAATCATCGCTGGGGGAGAGCTAGGCTGACTCGGGGCGCGTCACGCTGCGGAGAGCTCTGGTACGTCAACTATACACTGCCATGGTGCTAGGCACGAGCGGAGCGAAGCGTGGTTCTAGGCTTCAGGGGGTCCTGAAGTGCGCTGCTGCGCGCCCGCGGTCCCGCGGCCTCATGCGGCCCGCGCCCGCCCTCGGGCGCGACGCGTTGCATGAGTCAGCAGGTCGGGGTGGTGGTGCGCGCGCCCAAGGGGGCGCGGTGCACCGCGCGTGACGCCGTTCGGTTCTGATTTCATAAAACTTCAAACCGAGCGATCCGGGCAGCGCAGTACGTCGCACCAGGGAGAGCTTCGTCGAGGACTAGGGCTGGTGCGCACCCTGGCCCGGCACCCGGGCTCACCCCGCCGCGATTCGCCGATCGCTCCATCCTCTCACGCGTAGGCATGTTCGCCAGGGCGCATCTGCGCCTCTGCGTCGCCCCAGCGCCCCCTGCCCGCCCCCTGCCCACACCGGCGGGAGGAAGCGCAGGCCGCGCCGTGCCAGAATGCCTATGCACCAGATGCGCGGATCAGGGGCGACGCCCCGAGGCCGCACAGGCTCGCTGGCACGGGCGCCGCCGCTACTGGGGCGCCCGCGGTGCGCGGCGGCCGAGGGCCCGGCAACAACAGCGCGAAAGGTGCCGCGCGCGCGTGCAGGTCTGAGGAGGCAAGATGGACGCGGTGGCGGCGAGCGCGAAGCAGTTCGTGAAGGATAGCACGCGGTTGGTGAAGAAGTGCACCAAGCCGGACCGGAAGGAGTACAACAAGATCGCTGTCAAGACGGCAATGGGCTTCCTCATGATGGGGCTCATCGGGTTCTTCGTCAAGCTGCTCTTCGTGCCCATCAACCAGATCATCCTCCAGAAGTGAAGCGGCCCGCCGCGCCGCTCCCGCCGCGCCGCCGCGAACCGGGCGGCCGCGTGGTGCTGCCCTCGCAGCACGGGCAGCGCCAGGACGACGCGCCGCGGGCATGCAACGCCGCGCGCGCCGCCCGCAGCTTGTGTAACGTGCTCGAACTACCCCCTCGCGCGTCGCCGGCTCACGCTGCGAGCCCTCGCGACCGAGGTAGCACACTCCACGCAGTGTTTTGTTTCTGCCATGCACGGCTGGGCCCTACGCGGGCGAAAACTGGCGCACACGGGCGCAGCGCAGCGACCGGGCGGCTGGCAGCAGGGCGAGCGGCACGTGGCGTTCTTGTGGCCATGCGGAAGAGTTACAGTCCTGCGGTGGGGGTGTGTGTGTGCTGGTGCTGATTCGAACGACATGCATCGCTACGCCGACTCCATCGACGACCTCCTCAGAGGGCGCGTCTCTGCACAGCGGCGGCGGGGGCGCACCGGTGACGACCTCTGGAACGCACCAGGTAGGCAGGTAGGCAGGTTGGCAGGCGGGCGGGCGGGCGACGGTGCACGCGAGCGGCGCGGGTGCTCCGGCGGCGCACCTTCGTCGGCGGCGGCGTCCTCGTCGTCCCCGGGGGCGTAGGCGGCCTCCAGGACGAGTGCCGTGACGACGCTGGTGGCCTCGAGGACGAACAAGACCATGCCGGCGATGTTGGTGGTGAGGCGGTCGCGCTTGGCCGCGTCGATGATGCTGCGGGGGCAGGGCGCGCGGGGGTGCCACTTGGCGTGCGGGCTCGCTGCGTGATGCGCGCGCTGTTGTGTGGGCGCGTGCGTGGGGCGTTGGGCGCACATCTTGGCGTCGTCGGTGGGCATCTTCGTGGACAGGATCGCGATGATGAGCGCGGCCTGCAGGACGAAGCACGTGACGATGCCGAACACGGACGCCGAGATGGTGGTGGCGTGCTGCTTGGAAGCGCCGATGATGGCCGTCACCACCGTCACCAGGCCCAGGACCGACACGCCCATGAGGCCGATGAGGAACCACGGCTGCGGGCACTTCGTCCCCGGCTCGTGCGCCTCGCAGGTCTCGACCAACGTCAGGTACGCGCTGCCGCTGTACAGGGTGAGCGCCGCGCACAGGACGGCCAGGAGGGTGTTGACCGTCAGCGACACGCGCCTGCAAGTGCGACGGGGGCGGCGGCGGTGTGGCCGGCGAGAGCGTGCATGGCGCCGTGGACCACGTGGCGACCACAGCGCGCATGGCGCAACAAAGGCGCCGTCCGCGCATGCCGCTCGCTGGGCCCGCCGACCCTTCGCAGAGCGCACGAGCGCCCGGAGCGGCACTCCGCGGCCGGGCCCAGGCGCCGTGTCGCTCGTGTCCTCCACGACCGGGCGCCAGCCAGTGCAAGCAGCGTCGGTACTTCGTCTCTCAGGGGCTCCCGGACGACGGACAGCGTGCACGGGCTGGCGCCTCGCTGTGAATGACATCGGCCGCCGAAGTGGCGCTGGCGTGCAAGCATTGCAGCGTCGTGTGGGAGGCGGGTGCCTGGGGCGAGCACGCACCGGCAGGCCGTCAACAGCGCCTCCGATAGTCGCCGTTTGATGCCTATGATCGACCCGAAGAGCGGCTCCGTGAACACCATCGCGCCGCGTCCGGGCAGCGGCCACGAGCGCGCCGCCTGCTAGCCACCGGCCGGCCAACTACTGCTTCAAACGCCTCCGGTCCTGCACGACGCACTGCCGCGTGTGGGCGTTCCACGCTCCGAGCACGATGGCACGGCGCAAGAGAGAAACCGCAGCGCGCTGGACGGCCGCTTCGATCGGAATGCGGCGGTCGAACGCAGTGCTGATGCGACGCAGCGCGCAAGCCGTGCGCAACGCGGCCGGCGCTGTGGGCGTGCCTGGGATCCGAGCACGCAGGTTGCTGCGGCGTTCCTCGAGGATGCGGAAACACCACCGCTTGCGGGCGTCCGCCCCGCCGTGTTCGTCTCGCAGCCGAACAGACCAGAAGGTTCAGATGGACGCAAACCTGTGCCGGTGCGCGGGGTGACGCCTTTTGAACGATGCCGAGGATGACGTGCGTGGGAGTGTCTGCGGAGAGGTCGCTCCGCGCCCCGTCGTCGCGCACGCACGGGCGTGTTGCGGGGTCTGAGGTGGCACGGGGTCCTCCCCACAGGTCGGGCGCGCCACGGGGTGCCTGGGGCCCCGTCGGTCGCACAATGCGGCCCCGCGCAACGCGCGGCGCCCAGTGCGACCTGCCAATCGACCGCGCATCGCCCGCCAGGACGCAGAGGGACACTGAGGCGCCGGTGTGTGACGCTTTGCCACTGACGCGAGCGCCGCTGGAGGGGGGAAGAATCGCGATGCACGTGGTCGTCAAGGCGCCCTCCGGGTGCCAGAGCTTCGACGTGTGCGGCTCGGACACCGTGGGCCGCGTGCGCGCTATGGCGCAGGTGAGCTGGGTCGCCTCGAGCGCGGGACCCTCCCCTGGCGCTCGCCCCGGTGCATGCGCGCCCCAGCGGCTCGGCGCCGCGAGTGCTTGACTGGCGTCGACCGCAGAGGGCGTTTCGGGCCAGGGGGGGGCGGGGCCACACGACGCAAGGGCTCTCACCGGCGTTGCACAGATCGGCTCGCCCGTGCCTAACTCGCGGCGCGCACGTGAGGAAACCACGTCGCATTTCGCTCCTCGCGTGGTTGCAGGTCCCTGAGAGCTTCGCGGCGGTGTGCGGTGGTCGCACGGTCCCCGATTCGCGGTGTGTGGGTGCCCTTGGGCCTTGTGGCAGCCTGGAGTTCCGCCCGCGCCTCCTCGGCGGCGTCATGATCAAGGTACGCGCACACTAGCCCTCTCGTCCTTCCACGGCCACGCGGAAGTGGCGAATCCCGCCGTGCGGGCCGCGGGGGGACCTTTGTGGTCGACTGCAGCTTGGATCGCGCTCACGGTTCGCCCGCCGGGCCCGCCGCAGGTCAAGACGCTGACGGGCAAGGAGCTGGAGATCGACATCGAGCCGACGGACACGATCGAGCGCATCAAGGAGCGCGTCGAGGAGAAGGAGGGCATCCCGCCGGTGCAGCAGCGCCTGATCTACTCGGGCAAGTCGATGGCCGACGACAAGGAGGCGAGGGAATACAACATCGAGGGCGGCTCGGTCCTGCACCTGGTCCTGGCGCTGCGCGGCGGCGCCATGTAAACTGCACTGCACAAGGCGGCGTTCGCAGCAACGCTGTCGAGCCCTTCGCGATGACAAACGGGGACGTGGCAGACTGCCGTGCGCGCGGGCGCGCGCGCTTGCGGAGCGCGCTCGTGGCGCGATTCGCGGGACCGCAACAAGCGCGCCGCGTCGCGTGGCGATCAGCTGCTGACACGCGCGAGGTCGACCGCCGCAGATTCATGCTCTCACAGTCAGCTGTCCGTCTCTCGAAGTCTCTCGGTCTCTCACGTTGGTTGCGAAGTGAAAAGTGGGCTGTCAAACAAACATGCTACTTCCTCGGCCCCTTGGCGGCCTTCCGCGACTTGGACGCCTCCGTCGCGAGACGACGCAGCATCTGCATAGCGCACGGAGCAAGCAGTCCAGGGATCAGCTCGCGCGCGGCCGTCCAACCAAACGCACCCCCCAAGAACACAAACACTTGCACAGCACTGGCAGGGCGCGGGCCGCCACGCACCGCCGCGCTCTTCTTCCCGGTGTTGTCGATGAGCTTTGAGAGCAGGCTCTGCTCGTCCTCGCACAGCTCCGCGGGCTCCCGGTACTCCGCCGCGAGCCCGTCGTCCATCACCAGGATGCGGTCGCTGTCCATGATCGTGTTCAGGCGGTGCGCGATCGTCAGGACGGTGCAGTCCGTGAACTTCTCCCGCACCGCCCGCTGGATCAGCGCGTCCGTCTCCATGTCCACCGAGGCCGTCGCCTGCAACGAGACCGACACCAGCGCCGCCGCGTGAGGGCCGCCGCGTGGGTACCTGTGCGTCCCCGACGGCGCTCAAGTCGCAGCGTCGCGCACCTCGTCCATCATCAAAATCTTGCTCCCGCGCAGCAGCGCCCGCGCCAGGCAGAACAGCTGCCGCTCCCCCTGCGAGAAGTTCGCGCCGCTGTCGACCACCGGCGCATCCATGCCCGCTTCCAAGTTGTCCACCGCCGGCTTCAGACCCACCGCCTCCACGGCCTCCCAGATCCGCGCGTCCGTGTGCTCCCTGCAGTGCCGCGAGGAACGCCGCGTGTCTTCCCGGCACGCACGGCAGCACGCAAGCAGCGGCGGGGGCAGCACTGGTGTTGAATCGCGGGCTACGCACTCGAAGGGGTCGAGGTTGGTCCGCACGGTCCCCGTGAACATGAAGGGGTCCTGCGGGATCATGGCCATCTTGCTGCGGAGGTCCGCGAGGCCCATGGCGCGGTAGTCCACGCCGTCGATGTAGACGGTCCCCGACGCGGGCTCCACGAGGCGGAACAGCATCACGAACAGCGAGGACTTGCCGCTGCCCGTGCGCCCGCAGATGCCGACCTTCTCGCCGGCCTCGACCGTGAAGGACACGCCGCGCAGCACCAGCGGCGACGTCGGGCGGTACCGCATCATGATGGTGTCCACCTGCACGCGCCCCTGCGCGGGCCAGCCGGGCGCCGTGACCACGGCCTTGGTCTTCGGGTCCTCGGTGTCGGGGGCGGCCTCCGTGGGGGGCTCGAGGTACTGCACGATGCGCTCCACGCTGTTGAGCTGCTGCTCGGTCAGACTCGCCATGTTGGTCATGTGCTTCGTGAACTTGGACACCTGCGACGGAGGCACGCGCAAGTGAGCGGTCGGTGAGTGGCGAATCGCTGCGTAGGCGCGCCGCGGTCGGGCTGGACGCGCCGTTCGTCGCCGCACCTCGAGGACGTAGACCAGGATGAGGCCCGCCAGCGCGGCGTCGACGTTGCCCGCGATGGACAGCACGCCGCCGCAGGCGATGACGACGAGGCCGAGGGCGTCGAGGCGCATCGAGAGCCAGGCGGCGGCGAGCTTCTGCGAGATGTACGCGGCGGCGTTGGCGTCGACCTTGGCGTCGTTGCTGCGGATGAACCAGTCCTGGCGCTTGTACGCGCGGATGGTGGCGACGCCGTTGACGGCCTCGGAGAAGTGGCTGTAGATGGGCGACCGCGTGACGGACTCGAGCCGCTGGAGGTCGCGCGCGGCGGGGATGTAGTAGCGCTGGATGATGAAGTAGAGGATGACCAGGACGGTGAGGGCGATGGGGAACCAGTAGGACGCGATGGTGATGAGGACGAAGGTCCCCGCGAGGGAGGCGATGCAGCCGAGGAACTGGACGAGCGTGTTGGGGAGCACGCTGTCGAGGATCTCCACGTCGCGGCTGAACCGGTTGATGATGCGCCCCGAGGGGTTGGTGTCGAAGAACGACATGGGGAGGCGCAGGACGTGCACGAGGAGGTCGTTGTGCAGGTTGACCGCCGCGCGCACGGAGCCGCGGTAGAAGAAGACGCTGCGCACGAACACCGCGAGCGAGTACACGATGCCAAACGCAGTGTAGATCCCCAGGTAAAACCACATGCCCTTGCCGTCGACGCGGTCCTCCGTCCACACGCCGAGCCAGTAGTCCGTGCCCACGCGCAGCGCGGCGTCCCACGCGAAGAGCAGCGCGAGCGGCACCAGGAAGAGCGCGCCGCCCGCCGCGCCGGAGTAGGCCTTGACCACCTTGGACGACACCGCGCCCGCCTCGCGCTCCTCGATGCCCGTGAGGTTCGCGGTGCCGCGCGAGCTCGCGACGCTCGCGGTGGACTTGCTGCGCGCCGGGTCGCGCGTCGCCTCCGCGCGGATCTTCTCGGTCTTGGTGTCGGAGTCGTCGTCGGCGTCGTCGGAGCCGATGTTGCGCTTCAGGATCTCCGCGACGTCGAGGCCGGACGCGATGAGCTCGTCGTACGTGCCCTGCGCCGCCACGCGCCCGTCCTCGAGCCACAGCACCGTGTCGGCCTCCGGGAGGCAGTGCAGGGCGTTGGTCACCAGGACCACCGTCTTGGGCTTCAGCGCGCCGCAGATGCACTCCTCGAAGATCGCGCGCCCGACGTGCGAGTCCACCGCGCTGAGCGGGTCGTCCAGCACGTAGACGTCCGCGTCCGCGTACACCGCGCGCGCGATCGACACCCGCTGCTTCTGCCCGCCGCTGAGGTTGATGCCGCGCTCCCCGATCTCCGTCTGGTCGCCGTCCGGGAGGATCTCGAGGTCCTGCTCCAGCTGCGACACCTGCACCGCGAGCTCGTACCGCTCCGGGTTCCACTTCTCCCCGCACGTGATGTTGTCGCGCACCGTCGCGTTCAGGATCCACGCCGTCTGCGCGACGTACGCCAGGCTGCCGCCGACGTGCACCGTGCCCGCCGTGCGGTTGATGCCGCCGATGAGCGCCGCGAGCAGGCTGCTCTTCCCGCTCCCCACGCCGCCCGCCACCACCACCAGCTGCCCGGGCTTGGCGCTGAGCGTCACGTCGCGCAGCGCGGGGCCCACGCCGCCGCGCCGCGAGCTCTTCGTCGACTTCTCCGCGCCCTCCTCGTCCGCCTTGCTCTTCTTCTTCTCCCCCCTCCTCTTCCTCTTACCCCCCGCGTCGGCCCCCGCCTCCTGCTCCGCCTCGGCGTCCGCGTCCGCGTCGTACCACGACAGCGTCGCGCCCTTCATCTCGACGGCGCCGCGCGGCACCCCGCCGTCGTCCTCCTGCTCCTCGGCCTCCGCGCGCATCAGGAACCCTTGGATGCGGTTCAGGCCAATGTTGGCGTTGATCAGCTGCGAGATGATCAGCGGCAAGAACGACATCGGGAAGCGCAGCATGCTGAAGTACGCGAGCGCCGCGTACGCGTCCGCGGTCGTCAGGTCCTTCCCCGCGATGCCGTAGCTGCCAAAGGAGAAGATGCCCACGGCCACGGGGCCCGCCATGAGCACCATCGCGAACAGGGCCGAGAGGTACGCCTGGCTGCGGAGCTTCTCCGCCTCGCGCGCGCGCCACTCGCGCACCGACTTCATGAACGGGGTCTCCCACGCGTAGTACCTGCGCCGGGGGGCGCGCGCCGGGGCGGTCAGTGGATGCCGTGCGCGAGGCACACTGGCGGGGCGCGAGGGGGTTTGACTCACTTGAGGACGCGGATGCCCGCGACGATCTCGTTCATGATGGTCACGCGCTTGTCGGTGTACCCGATGATGGCCTTGCGCAGCGCCACGAGCTTGGAGGCCACGATGCCAGTCAGGGGCCCCAGCATCAGCATCGCGCCGGCGCCGACGAGGCTCGCCCAGCCGATCACGTCCCAGAGGAAGACCATGATCGCGACGATGTAGAGCGGGCTGCCCCAGCACGGGTGCAGCGCGAGCGTCACGTCCTGCAACTTCTGCGCGTCGTTGCTCATCAGCGTCACGATCTTGCCCGTGCTCTCCGCCTGGAGGCTCGCGCCGGAGGCCCGCAGGCACCTGCGCGGGGGGGAACGCGCGGCGGTGTGGGCCGTCGCCGGCACGCGGCGGGAAGGGCGAGCACGGTGGGTCTGGCGCGCGTGGGTGGGCTGCGCGCACGCACTTGCGGTAGATGGCGGCCATGAGGGCGTTGCGGAGCTTGCAGCCGAGGAGGCCCATGGAGTAGGTGAGGTGGTTCTCGCACAGCGAGATGATGGCCGGCGCCCCGATGATGACGCCGGCGTAGATGTACAGCCGGTTCTCGCTGACGCACACCTCGTCCACGAGGGCCTCCGGGACGTTCTGGCGGCAGGCGAGGCCCTTGACGATCTCCTGGAGGAGCAGCGGGCCCGCGAACGTGCAGGCCTGCGAGACCGCGTAGAGGAAGGCCGTCCACAGCAGCACCAGGACATTCCCCTTGAGCAGCGCCTTGCGGATGTTGGGCTTCCCGGACGCCAGCTCCTCCTGCCACGCCTCATCGAACGTGTCGTACAGCCTGCGAGGTGCACGGAGGGCGGCCGCGCGCGGCTTTTAGGGCGCTGCGGGCCGTGGGGGCTGTCGCCCACCGTCTGAGGTATCCTCGGCGGCAGACGCGGGGAAGGGGGTTACGCGTGCGGAAGGCGCCACGCGCGCCTTCGTCCGTCATCTGCCAGGCGCAGCGCCGCGGTAGACGGTCATGACGGCGTTCGACGCGCGCACCTGCCGGTCTTGAAGGTGTCGAGGTCCAGCAGGTTCTCAGGCTCGATGCCCTGCAGCCCGCACTTGATGAGCGGGCTCGCGTCGAAGAAGAAGAGCCGCGAGAAGAAGCTGGGGTGCGGATTCGGCTTGTAGGGAATGCGCGTGCTCTCCTCGCGGCCGTCCTTTTCCTTGGCGGGGGTGGCCATGGCCTGCACGGACGCAGTCGCGTCCGTCTTGTCGGGAGAGTTCATTCTCTGATGTCCTGTCAACCCTGCGCCCGAAATGCAGGCCCGCCGGCGTGCTCCCCCTCGCCGTCCCGGCTCTCTCGACGGCCCTCTCTCCTCCTATCACGAACGGCGCAGGCTCGTCAGACAGGAGCGTGGAGGGCAGGTCTGGCTCTCCGACGCAAAGCTACCTCCCTCGACTGCCGCAGCGGGGCGTCGAAGCCGCCCGAGGTGCCCCGAGGAGGCCGTCACAGGCCCTGCGTCGGACACCCCACAGCTCGCTTGGCTGTGAGAGCTCCGCGCGCGAGCAGGGCGTCGCAGCGCGATGGGAGTGCGTTGCGGCGGGCCGTGCGCCCTCGCGCGATATTGCGCTCAAAGGTAGCGTGGTGGGAGCAGCGGTAACCGTCTCTTCGCGCTGCGAGGGCCGGTGCTTGGCAGGCCTCATCAACCCTCACGTGTCGAGGCCCGCGCGCACACCGGCATGGCGCAGACGGCAGCAGGGCCCCGCGGCAGGGAGCAGGCGGCGCGTGGGGTCCAGCACCGCCGTCTCGCGAGCGGGTCGTGCGACGTGCGATCGCCGGGACGTGGGAGGCCTGGGCGGGCACAGCACGAGGCGTTCGGCAGTCCGGTTTCACAGTTCTCCGTCCGCGCTGCGTCGGGCGGTCGCTCAGGCCTTGGCTTGCTGCTTCATGAAGTTCAGCGCGGACCCGGCGACGAACCAGGACACCTGGTTGTCGTTGAAGGTGTGGTTGAGCTTGAAGGTGTACTCGCTGCCGTCCGCCTTCTTGCCGACGAGGTCGAGCGGGACGCCCGGCTTGGGCGGGAGGCCCTTGATGGACACGGTGTCCGAGGGGTCGACCTTGTCGTAGTCCGCGGGGTCGGCGAAGGTGAGCGGGAGCATGCCCTGCTTCTTCAGGTTGGTCTCGTGGATGCGCGCGAACGACTTGACGATGATGGCGCGGCCGCCGAGGTGCCGCGGCTCGAGCGCCGCGTGCTCGCGCGACGACCCCTCGCCGTAGTTCTCGTCGCCGACCACCACCCAGGGCAGGCCCGAGGCCTTGTAGTCGCGCGCCACGGCGGGCACCTCGCCGTACTCGCCCGTGCGCACGTTCTTCACCGAGTTCGCCTTGCCGTTCTCCGCGTTGATCGCGCCGATGAGCATGTTGTTCGAGATGTTGTCCAGGTGGCCGCGGTACTTGAGCCACGGGCCGGCCATCGAGATGTGGTCCGTCGTGCACTTGCCCTTGGCCTTGATCAGCACCGCCGCGCCCTCGAGGTCCTTGCCGTCCCACGCCGCGAACGGCGTCAGCACCTGCAGCCGCTGCGACGCCGGGTCCACGATGACCTGCACGCCCGAGCCGTCCGCGGGGGGCGCCTGGAAGGTGTCCTCGCCGTGGTTGAAGCCCTTGGACGGGAGCTCGTCGCCCGAGGGCGGCGCGAGCGAGACCTCGCGGCCGTCGGCGGCCACGAGGGTGTCCGTCTCGGGGTTGAAGCTCAGGTCGCCCGCGATGGCGTACGCCGTGACCAGGTCGGGCGAGGCGACGAAGGCGTGCGTGGCGGGGTTGCCGTCGTTGCGGCCGACGAAGTTGCGGTTGAAGGACGTGACGATCGAGTTGGCCTCGCCCTTCTTGACGTCGGTGCGCTTCCACTGCCCGATGCACGGCCCGCACGAGTTCGACAGGATCGTGCCGCCGACGGCCTCGAAGATCTGCTGGATGCCGTCGCGCTCGATGGTCGCGCGGATCTGCTCCGACCCGGGCGAGATCGTGAAGGGCACCTTGGCCTTGATGCCCGCGTCGAGCGCCTGCTTGCAGATGCTCGCCGCGCGCGCCATGTCCTCGTAGGACGAGTTCGTGCACGACCCGATGAGGCCCGCGGAGAGCTCCGTGGGCCACCCGTTCTCCTTCACGGCGCTGGCGAACTTGGACAGCGGGTGCGCCAGGTCGGGCGTGAACGGCCCGTTCACGTGCGGCTCGAGCGTCGAGAGGTCGATCTCGATGACCTGGTCGTACGGCGCGCCCTCGTCCGCGCGCAGGTTCTCCTGGAACGCCTGCGCGAGCTTGGCCGCGCCCTCGCGCTCCGTGGCCACCAGGTAGTCGTACATGCGCTGGTTGAAGGGGAAGATCGACGTCGTCGCCCCGATCTCCGCGCCCATGTTGCAGATCGTGCCCATGCCCGTGCACGAGATGTTGTCCAGGCCCGGCCCGAAGTACTCGATGATGGCGCCCGTGCCGCCCTTGACCGTCAGGATGCCCGCCACCTTGCAGATGACGTCCTTCGGGCTCGTCCAGCGCGACATCTTGCCCGTGAGCTTCACGCCGATCACCTTGGGGCACTTGAGCTCCCACGGCAGGCCCGCCATGACGTCCACCGCGTCGGCGCCGCCCACGCCCACGGCGCACATGCCCAGCCCGCCGGCGTTCGGCGTGTGCGAGTCCGTCCCGATCATCATCCCGCCCGGGAACGCGTAGTTCTCCAGCACGATCTGGTGGATGATGCCCGACCCGGGCTTCCAGAAGCCGATGCCGAACTTGGCGCCCGCCGACGACAGAAAGTCATACACCTCCTTGTTCGTCTTGATCGCGTACTCCATGTCGGCCTTCGCGCCGTACGAGCCGTTGCGCTCCAGGTCGGCGCGCGTCGTGCCCTCGATCAGGTGGTCGCAGTGGATGGTGGAGGGCACCGCGGTGCGCGGGAGGCCCGACGACATGAACTGCAGGACCGCCATCTGCGCGGTCGCGTCCTGCATCGCCACGCGGTCCGGCCGGAGGCGCAGGTAGCTCACGCCGCGCTCGATGTCCTGCCCCTCCGGGTCGTCCAGGTGCCCGTAGACGATCTTCTCCGACAGCGTCAGCGGGCGGTTCAGGCGGCGGCGGATGACCTTGAGGTTCTCCTCCATCATCTGGTACCGCGGGTTGATCAGGTCCTCGGCCTCGAGGGCCGACATGGGGGTCTGCGGGCGCGGAGGGGGCGCCGGCGGTTGGTGCGTGCGTCCGCGCGGCGGCGACGCGGGCCGCGGGCGGCGCGGGACACCGGGGCCGCGAGATCTGCGAGGCAGGCGCGGGCTGGCGCGCCCCGGCGCGCCGGCAACGCAGCGCGCGCGTCCTCGCACGACGAGGCTGGTGACGGGGCTTGACGGGCCGTTGTGCGTCGGGCGGGAGACGGGTGCGCGTGCGGGCCCGCCGTCGCGGAGGGGCGACGGGCTGGAAGCGGGAACCCCGCGAAACGCGGCGAAACCGCGCGCGTGTGGCGCGGTCGCGGCCCAACTGCCTCCTGTTGAGGCCGGCACGGCTCGCCCCGGGGCCGTCGCGGGCGGAACCCCGAGGCAATCGGCGGGAAAGGGCGCCCGCAGGACACGACATGTCCGCGGCGGGGCGCCAGGCGCGCGCGGAGAGCCACGGGGCCGGTGCCGGCCGCGGTGGGCTGCCCCTGGGTGTTGCTCCGCCGCGACACGGCGCCGGGGGCTCCGGGCGCCCGAGCGGTCGACCGCGGCGTCGCGAGGCACCAGGGGCGTCCGCGCACGGCGGCGCGGGGCGTGCGCGGGGGCGGTCTGCGCGGCACGCATGCGGCAGGCCGGCGAGGGTGCAGTCGGGGGCGACGGGCGGCTCACCGGCGGCATGCCGGCGATGGACGACGCGGGTCGGATCGCGTATTCCGCGAACTTGGCCGAGGCAATTCGCTTGGCCTGCGTCGGGGCGGGGGGATGAGCGGAGGGTGTGCGCGGGGCGGAGGAGGTCAAGGTGGGGGAGCTAGCAGAGCGCGGGTCGTGTGGCCTGGCCGGGGGCGCTGGGCGTGCGGAGCGGGGGTCGGGAAGGTGGAGGGCTGTCCGGGGGGAGGGCGGCGGGGCGGGAGGCAGTGTCGGCGCGGCGCGGGGGCGGCTGCCCGGTCGGGGCCGAGAGGGGCGCGCAGCGCTGCTCGTCGACGTGTAGGATGGGGTTCGCGCGGCGAGGAATGCGCATGCATCCATTCTTCGCGGCCGCGTCGGCGAATCACGGGCGCGGTCTCGCGTTCGCGGTGACGGGGCCACGGAAGGGATGGAGGAAACAACGAAAGCCCGGGCCTCGTAGAGGGCCTGAGGGGGGCGCAAACAGGCTTCGGGCGGAAATGTACGTCCAAAAAAGGCCGTGCGTGCAGGAAGATGCCGCGGTGACGGGCCGGCGACGCGCCACTTGCAGGTCAGCGTGAGTCGTTGGGCCTCACCGCGTTCAGCAGGCCCGAAGCGCCCCGCTGCACCTGCATGGCGAAGAATGTGGACTCCACCGCCAACCAGGCAACTGCTGGGCCGCACACGCGCCGCCGAACGCCCTTGGGCGCGGCGCCAGGCGGCCTGTGGGGCAGACAGGGGACAACTCACATACCTAACTCAGCACGCAGAGCCGCCGCTAGCGCGCTTCCAGCGCCGCTCCCGCCACCTGCGGCCCCTCCCTGATACGTTTCTCCTTCTGACCCACCGCAGCGTCGCCTGTGCGGCTCAGACGTGCCGGACTCCGTTGCCACTTTTAGGGCGCTGCCACCCCGAAGCCGCCTCGTGCCGCTGACCGCCGTTGCGCCGCGTTTCCCCGACGCCGCACCCGCGCCACGCGAGGTCCGTGCCGCGTAAGAGCTCGGCACCGCGTGCGGAACGCTTCCTCCGCGGTGGGCCTGCGTTGAGCTGCGCGGGGGACCACATGGGACGGTGGGACGGCAAGACCGGACCCGCCCGACTCGCTGACGCGCAGCGACCCGCGCTGCCGCTGGCGGACACTCCCGCGCGCTCCCCGGCCGGCTGGCCGCCACACCGGGGCCACGCGTCCGAGTGACATGAGCAGCGCGGCACTGGGACGAGCAAGGCGCGGGTGCGCGCTGACGGGGTGCCCGCACAGCTGCAGGTCGCGCCGTGGCCGCGCTGCTGCGCTCCGGGATCGCAGCGAGCTGCTCGGCCCGCGTGGCGTGCGACAGCACGTGACTCGAGGGGAGTGACACATCACTCCCCCGCAGACAACGTGAAGCACGTCATGGCTGTCGGCGCACCGCCCCGACGTACATTCCCGCATCGCGTTGCATCCGAATCAGCGAATCCTCGAGCCCGACGTCCGCAGCGTGTGTGTGCTCCAAGTCGACCCAGGCTGCGAATCCGACCCTGTAGCCTCGTTCAATAGCAAGGAGGTCGCGCGCCCAGGGCGGGGAGAGCCAGTAGGTGGTCCGTGGCCGCCGGCGGTGCATGTCACGCGCCTGTTAGCCGGCGCCGCGGAGGACTTTCCTGCTCCGGATGCCTCGAGTGCGACTCATGGCGAAAAAGAAGCAGAAGACCCAGAAGTCCGAGCAGGTAGCGGTTGAACCTGACCATCTCCGTCGCGCACGCGCGACGCACCGTCACTCAGCGCCCTGGTCTCACCGAGCGACGGCCCCTCCCCCGCACGCAGGCCCGGGCGCCGTCACCACGGGCGAAGAAACCGCTGGTGCTCCCGAGAGTCTCGAAGAAGGCCAACCTGAGGATCAAGGAGCTCGACGGGCTGGACGCGTTCACGGTGGATGGCGTCCTCACCCGCGAGGAGTGCAAGCTCTTCGTCGACGCCGCCACCGCGGCCGGCTGGCAGGTGCCGCCCCGCCGCCCTCCCCCCCCCCCTCCCCTGCGTCCGCCGGCGCCTCTCGCTGCCCGGGCCGCGCGTCCGAGCCACGTGCCGCTCGTTGTGTTGTCTTGCGCGCTGCAGTGGCAGGGCAGCGGGGGCGCTGCCGCCGGCGAAGCGTTCCGGGACAACGAGCGCGTGCAGTCGGACGACCCGGACTTCGCGGCGGCCTTCTGGCGGGCGTCGGGGCTGCAGGAGCTGTTTCAGGAGCTGGACCTGACGGTGGACGGAATGACCGCGTGCGGGCTCAATCCCAACATCCGCCTGTATCGCTACAGCAAGGGACAGCGGTTCGGGAAGCACGTGGACGGCAGCTACGAGCTCGGGCAGGTGCGACGCGAGCGAGCCGGGGCCAACCGCGTCGCTGCGTCAGTGCAGTCAACCTGCTACGCCGCGGCCTGTTGCGACGGCCCCGGCGCTGCGCTCGCGCGTGCAGGGGCGACGAACGGTGTACACGCTCCTGGTGTACCTCAGCGGCGGGGAGTCTCTCAAGGGCGGCGAGACGGCCTTCTTCAAGGGCGAGCGGAAGTCCAGGCTGGCGTTTGCGGTGCACCCGGAGCCCGGGATGGCGCTGCTGCACGCGCACGGCGACCGGTGCCTCGAGCACGAGGGCGCGCCCGTGGCCGCGGGCGTCAAGTACGTGCTGCGGTCCGATGTGGTGTTCCAGGACAGCTAGAGAGAGATGTAGGGAGAGGCATGTAGGGCGGATATGCGCGCCTCTGCGGCGCCCGGGGCGAGCACGCGCAAGCGCATGTGGGGTGCGACGCGACGTTCGTGTGATAGCGAGCTCGCTTCCGCCCGCGTGCGTGAGCGCGCAGACCCATTGAGAGTTCACTTGTTACGATGTTGCGGGCTGTGGTGGCCCGGGCCGCCACACGCCGTGGGCGTGCAGCACGGCCTAGCGCGCGCGGATGTCTGCTCCCCCGCTGCTCCACTTCGGCCGCGAACCTGGGGGGAGTGTTTGTTAAAGAACGAAACATCCCCCCTTGTGACGCCCGGCGGCAGGTCCGGGACGGCGCCTTCGCCGCGCGTCGCGGACGATGTCCGGCAGTCATACAGCTGGATCTCAGCTGTTGGAAAGCCGATTCACGGTCGTCGCGTATGTCGGAGGGAGCCGCCATGACCACAACAGAGCCAGCGCCGACCGCGCAGCATGAGCGCATGGCTGCGCGCCTCGCGGAGCTGGACGAAGAGCGACGTCGGAAGAAAGACGAGCGCGAGATGGAGCGCAAGGAGGCAGCGGACCCCCGGTGCGCTGCCGCATTCAGCGCAAGCGCCACCTGCACGCGCCGCCGACGCGCTCACGGGGGCGCCCGTGCGAAATTGAGCTGGCGCACGCGTTTCCTAACACAGTTCCCGTCCGCCACACCCAATCCGGACCCTGGTTTCCGCGCTTCTCTGCAGGGAGTCGACGAAGGAGTTTCTCGACAGCTTCCGCGGTCGCGAAGCCGAACTGAAGGCCGCCATCGAGGGCGTGAACGTCCCGAACGCAGCGAGCTCTACGGGAGCAGCCGCCGGCCAGGCAGCGGACGCGAAGGCGCAGTTCGAGGCGCTGTCGGAGAGCATCAGCGAGCTCCAGCAGAGCTGCGCGGAGGCGTGCTATTTCCTGCCGGCGTTCGAGCAGCGCAACTGCCTGGCCGCGACGCAGGCGCTGCGAGAGCTCCTCGAGAAGAAGAAGCTCGCGGTCGCCCCGCGCAAGAAGTTCGCGTTCTCCCGCGGCGGGAAGACCAGCGGCGCGCAGCTGGCCAGCAAGGCGCAGGCAACCGCCGCCCAGGCCGCGCAGCAGGCCGCCGCGGCGCCCTCCTCCGCCCCGCAGCACCCGAACGGCACCGGCGTCGCGCCCTCCGTCGACGTCCTGGACTTCCCCGCCGGACGCGGCCTGCGCGACCTGGACGGAGAGACGCGCGCCGTGCCCGCCTCCGAGCTCGACGGCGTCGACTACAACCTCTCGAACCTCCGCAACTGCACCATCTTCCTCGCAGGTCGCATGCAGGTGCGACCTCCCCTGTCCCGCCCGCAAACCCCCCCGCCCACACACAACAACTGCAGTCGCCCGCCGGCCCGCCACGCTCCAGCCCGGACAGCCCCCCGGTCCCGCAGCGCCGTCACTACCCCCGCGCGCCCCTCCGTCGCGTCGCAGGCCCTCCGTTTGCACAAGCTCGAGGGCTGCACCATCGTCGCGGGGCCTGTGCTGGGGTCCACGTTCTGCGACGGTCTGCGCGGGTGCAAGGTGCACCTCGCGACGTTCCAGACGCGCATCCACAGCACGCGCGACACCGACTTCTTCCTCCGGCTGCGCTCGCGCCCCATCATCGAGCACACCGCCGCGGTGCGGTTCGGGCCGGCGGACCTGGCGGCGGCGTGCGGGGCCGCGGCGCTGCGGGACGCGGGGCTCGCGGACGAGAACGGGATGTGGGCGAACGTGGACGACTTCGCGTGGATCAAGGCGGTGGCGTCGCCGAACTGGAGTCAGGTGCCGCAGGGGGAGTGCGTCGCTGCGCCGCGTGCCCCAGGGGCCGCGGCCGACGCGCCCGACGAGATCTAGTCCGTGCGAGCCCGCTGGGCAGCCCGACGACCGTTAGGGTCGCCGGATGTGCAGACCGGCTGTGAGCGATGCTGGCACGCGTGGGTACGTTGGCCTGGGGGCGCGGCGTGGCGCGATGCCGGACTCGCGAGGCCCAGTTCGCGACGAGAGGCTGCGTGTGTTGCTTAATTACATTTGCTTGGCCGCCTTCGCGTGGCCGTTGGCGCTGTACTGCTGTTTCCGCTCCGCGGCGACCAACATGCCAGCGGCACTCTGCAGCTGCTTGACGTTCGCGAACTGCTTGACGACGAAGCCCGGGACCGCGGCCGCGGCCAGGAGCGCGACGACGGGCAGCGGCCCCTCGCGCAGCTCGACGCCCACCAGCGCGAACAGCGCGCGCACCACGGGCGTGGCAGTCGCCGCCGCGATCGGTCCGGGCGCGAGGAACGCGTCCCACTGCAGGAGGTACAGCGCGAGGTAGAGCACCTCGCACGACACGCAGCAGTAGCCCATGAAGAGACGGTACCTGCAGACACTCGGAGCTCGACAACACCCCTGATTGCAAAACGTGCCGTTTCGCTGACAGGGAGCGCCCCGCCGCGGAGGCCACCGCTGCCCTGCACAGGCCCGGCCGCGGGGCGCCGGCGTGAGCGGGGGGTTGGGTTCACCTGTAGTAGAGGCGCACGAGCAGCGAGGAGGCCTTGGAGGTGTCCTTGTGGGTGGTGGCGCCCGCGGAGAGCGTGGCGTACATCTGGAACCAGTGGCTGCAGATGTCGAGCGCGACGAGGGACATGGCCGGGAGGAGCAGGCACGCGCGGCGCGCCCCGAGCAGCACGAGCAGGCAGGCGGTGCCCACGCGGTCGGTGACCATGTCGAGGACCGCCCCGAGCGCGCTGCACTGGTCGAGCAGGCGCGCGAAGCGCCCGTCGAGGTCGTCGCACACGAACGCGAGCGCGTACGCCTGCGGACACGGGCGCGGGCGGCGTGCGTCACGGAACGCGCGCGCGGAGAGCAGCAGCAGCAGCAGCGCGGCGTGTTAGGGCTCGCGGGCTCCCGCGCGCGCCGCGGGCCGAACGCAGATCGCTCCGCGATTTCCGCGCGCTTTAGGGTGCGGTCTGTCAGAGGGGGGGGCGTTTCGGGCGCGACGGGCGCGGAGGAGGCGCGCGTCCGGCGTTGGTGCCGTATCGCAGCGTGGCAGGCAGAGAGGGCGAGTGGCGCACCGCGACGAAGCGCTCCGGGCTGCTGTTGGCGACCGAGAAGCCGTAGATCATGAAGAGCACCCTCGCGTACCCGATGAGGTTCGGGACGAACAGGAAGGGGTTGTCATGCCGGCCGAAGAAGCCCGCCTCCGAGCTCATGGCCTGGCGCTCGTTCGACCCTCTCAGGGCCGCTGGGCGCCACTCGCGCGCTCCTGATCAATGCTGACGCCCAGATGTCGGCGGAAAGTATTGATTCCGTCGCGGAGGGCCCCGGAAAGTGGGTGCTACGCGCGGGCTGCTGTGGGTGCTAGCAGGCACGGTGGACTGGTGGCGCGGCGGGGAGCGCGTGGCGACCACTGCCTCGCGTGACCGCCTCGTTGGGCTCAGGCACGGCGCCCAGGAACGCTCGAGAGGGCGCACGCAGCTCCGCGGGGGCACGGCGGCAAGCAGCTGGTCGGGGCGCCACGTGAAGCAGTCTCGTTTTGGAGCACCGCGTGGAGCTGTCCGGCGCACACTGTCGTCAGCATGCGCGGGCGGCCGCCCCTGGTGTCGCGCGCCGCATCGCGACCCGCGGTCCGCGGTTCGCCCCGTCGGACTTGGTCGGTGGCAGACAGTCTCCCGGGCCGGGGCTGCGGCGCGGCGGGCGCCAAGGCTGCCAGATTGGCCTCGTCTCGCGCATGATTGCGCGGCATCCTCGCTGAAGCCCGAACATCTGCGCTGGACCGCACAGAGCGGCTTGGCCTTATGGAAGCTGATTCGCACACGGCGCGGGGGCCGCAATCAGGTGCGCTCCGGCTGCTCGCGCACTCGCCCGCAAGCGCGACTGCATGTCAGTCGCTGGCCGGGTGCCTGGACGCCTGGCAAACAGTTGCGTTCGCGGAATCCGCTCCGTATCCTGGGCCTGCTGGAGCGTGATTGGCGGCTCGTTGGGCGCGAACGACGGGAGACAGGCGCGAACGCGCATGTACATCTCCGTTGTGCGTGCAGGGGGGCAGCGGTCGTGTACGTGACGCCGCGCAAGAGACGCCGCTGGACGTGGTAGAGTGTGGAGGAGGCGTGATGCCGCCGACGGGCCGTAGCGGCGCGGTCGGGCGGTGCACGGCGCTGCTTCTGGTGCTGCTCTGCATGTTCTGGTCCCAGGCCGCATCGATGGACGCGGGGCGGCACGGCGGCCGCGCGCACGCGGCCACAGGGAGAGCGGTCCACCCCTCGGGCATTGACGCAGCGCGCTGCGCGGGGGCGGGCGCGGGCGGCGCCTGCGCCGTGAACGAGACGTTCGGTCCGCCAGCGGGAGGCGCGCGGGCCCTGAGGGGCGGTGTCGCGCAGAGGCGTGCGCTCCTCACCGGGCCGCCACTGAGCGAGCAGAAGCTAGTAGAGGCCAACAACAGGTCCGGGGCCGCCGTGGCGGCCTGGGGCGGCAGGGTGGTGGTCGGCGATGGGCGGCAGGACGGGGCGGGCGCCGACTCGGGCGCGGCGTACGTTTTTGTGCTGGACGCGGACAACGGGACGTTGCTGTTCGAGCAGGCTCTGACGGCGTCGGACGCTGGGGGCGGCGACTTCTTCGGGTCTTCAGTGGCGATGGAGGGGGAGACGGTGGCGGTGGGCGCGTACCTCGACGACGAGGGGGCCGTGAACGCGGGTGCCGTGTATGTGTTTGTGCGCAACGGAAGCGCTTGGACGGAGCAGCAGAAGCTGAAGGCGTCGGACGCCGCCTCGTTCAACGGGTTGGGCGAGTTCCAGGTGGACATTTCCGGGAACACCATCGTGGCGGGTGCCGACACGCACAACACAGGAGGCCAGTCGCAAGCGGGGGCGGCCTACGTGTTCGTGCGGAGCGGAAGCACTTGGACGGAAGAGCAGAAGCTGACGGCGTCGGACTACGCGGCCGGAGATAGGTTCGGCTGGGCCGTGGCGATCGACGGAGACACAATTGTAGTCGGCGCTTACCTGGATGGTGATCTGGGCGTCAACTCGGGGTCGGCGTACGTCTTCATGCGGAGCAACGGCTCGTGGACGCAGGAGCAGAAGCTGTTGGCGTCGGACGGGGGGCCGACCAGGAAATTCGGCTACACGGTTGCCATTTCCAATGGCACGATCGTTGTGGGGGCTCCGGAGGACGACGGCGCCACCACGGACGCGGGCGGGGCGTACGTCTTCGCGTGGAACGGAACCCAGTGGATAGAGCTGCAGAAGCTGCTCGCCCCGATCCCGGCCATAGCGCGGCAATTCGGGGCGAGGGTGGACATCCGCGGCGACATGATCGCTGTTGGGGAGGTCCAAAACGGCGCGGGCGCGGCGCACTTGTTTGCTCGGAACTCGAGTACCTGGTCGTATCAGCGGACCCTGACAGCGTCGGACGGCGCGAGCTCGGACCGGTTCGGGTGGGATGTTGCCCTGTCCAACGTGACGGTGGTGGTCGGCGCAAAACTCGGTGACCATGTCGTCGCCGACGAGGGTGCGGCGTACGCGTATCTGCTCGACACCGACGGCGACGGCGTTGCGGACGCAGTGGACAACTGTCCCTTCGTCGCGAACGCAAACCAGACGGACACGGACAGTGATGGCGTAGGCGACGCGTGCGCGCCCGCGCCCACAGCACCTCCGAGCACCACACCGGCGCCCACCAGCGAGCAGAAGCTCCTTGCCAGCGACGGCGCCGCGTCCGATCGGTACGGCTTTGCTGTCGCGGCGTCCGCGAGCAGCAACTACCTGGTGATTGGCGCGTATCGCGACTCCGATGATGGGTCCGGATCGGGGTCGGCGTACGTGTACAGGCGCGACAGCAACGGGACGTGGGTGGAGGAACAGAAGCTCACCGCCAGCGACGCCGCTCTGGGCGATGAGTTCGGGTATGCAGTGGCGGCGGCGGGGGAGCACGTGGTGGTGGGCGCGTGGTTCCACAACGACGTCGGGGCTGAGTCAGGGGCGGCGTACGTGTACAGGCGGCATGCGAACGGGACGTGGGCGGAGGAGCAGAAGCTCACCGCCAGCGACGCGGCGGCGAGCGATCGCTTCGGCGTTAGTGTTGCTGCGTCGGGGGAGGTGGTGGTGGTGGGCGCGCACCTCGACGACGACAACGGGGGTGAGTCGGGGTCGGCGTACATTTTCAGGCGCAACGTCAACGGGACGTGGGTCGAAGAGCAGAAGCTGGTGGCCAGCGACGGGGCGGTGGACGACATCTTCGGCTTCAGGGTGGCCGTGTCGGGCGAGTACGTGGTGGTGGGCGCAGTACTCGATGACGACAATGGGGCTGACTCGGGGTCGGCGTACGTGTACAGGCGGCATGCCAACGGGACGTGGGTTGAGGAACAGAAGCTGGTCGCCAGCGACGGGGCGGCGGACGACTGGTTCGGCCACGCGGTGGCCGTTGCTGGCGACTCGATCGTGGTCGGCGCGTACCTCGACGACGACAACGGGACTTCCTCGGGGTCGGCATACGTGTTCAGGCGGAGCACGAACGGGACGTGGGCGGAGGAGCAGAAGATCACCGCCAGCGACGCCGCTCTGGGCGACCGGTTCGGCTTTGCAGTGGCGGCTGCGGGGGAGTACGTCGTGGTGGGCGCATGGGGCAACAACGACAACGGGTCTGACTCGGGGGCGGCGTACGTGTACAGGCGCGGCGGCAACGGGACGTGGGCGGAGGAGCAGAAGCTCACCGCCAGCGACGCCGCTCTGGGCGACCGGTACGGCCGTGCGGTGGCGGCGGCGGGCGAGTACGTCGTGGTCGGTGCATACCATGACGACGCTAACGGTACCGACTCAGGGTCCGCGTACGTGTACAGGACGCTGGAGGCGCCAATGGCGACGGCGGCGCCCACGACGACGGCAGCTCCAGCCACAACACCGGCGCCCACCAGCGAGCAGAAGCTCACCGCCAGCGATGCGGCGGAGTATGAATACTTCGGCCATGCGGTGGCAGTGACGGGCGAGTTCGTCGTGGTTGGCGCATACCGAAACAGCTACATCGCGTCCAAGGCAGGGTCGGCGTACGTGTACAGGAGCGGCGGCAACGGGACGTGGGGGGATGAACAGCAGCTCACTGCCAGCGACGCCGCGGAGAACGACCTGTTCGGGTATTCGGTAGCGGCGGGCGAGTACGTGGTGGTTGGCGCAACCGAAAATGACGACAACGGTACTGACTCAGGGTCAGCATACGTGTTCAGGCGCGATGCGAACGGGACGTGGGCGGAGGAGCAGAAGCTGGTCGCCAGCGACGCCGCGGCGGGCGATCGCTTTGGCGCTGCGGTGGCCGTGGCAGGCGAGTACGTGGTGGTGGGTGCGCATTTGAACGATGACAACGGGACGGACTCGGGGTCGGCGTATGTTTTCAGGCGGCATGCCAACGGGACGTGGGTTGAGGAAGAGAAGCTGGTCGCCAGCGACGCCGCGGCGGGTGATCTGTTCGGTTTTAGTGTGGCGGCGGCGGGCGAGTACGTGGTGGTGGGCGCATACCGCAACGACGACAATGGGACGGACTCGGGGTCGGCGTACGTGTACAGGCGCGATGCGAACGGGACGTGGGCGGAGGAACAGAAGCTGGTCGCCAGCGACGCGGCGGAGGGCGCCTGGTTCGGCTTGTCGGTTGCGGTGTCAGGCGAGTACGTGGTGGTGGGTGCGCAACACACAGACGGCAACGGGGCTGCGTCAGGGTCGGCGTACGTGTACAGGCGGCATGCGAACGGGACGTGGGCGGAGGAGCACCAGCTCACCGCCAGCGACGGGGCGGCGGGCGACCAGTTCGGTTTTAGTGTGGCGGCTGCGGGCGAGTACGTGGTGGTCGGTGCGTTATTCAACGACGACGGCGGAGCCGATTCGGGGTCGGCGTACGTTTTCAGGCACGTCAACGGAACGTGGGCGGAGGAGCAGAAGCTGGTCGCCAGCGACGCGGCGGCGGACGACCGGTTCGGCTACGCGGTGGCAGTGTCGGGGGAGTTCGTGGTGGTTGGTGCACATTTGAACGACGATAACGGCACTGACTCGGGGGCGGCGTACGTGTACAAGACGCCGGGGGCGCCCACGGTACCGAGCGCAACAGTCCCAGCCACCACACCGGTGCCCACCAGCGAGCAGAAACTCCTCGCCAGCGACGGCAGCGCGAGCGACTTGTTTGGCTTCTCAGTGGCGGCGGCAGGGGAGTACGTGCTGGTGGGCGCATATGG